AAAAAGCAGAAAAAGAATTTTCATTATCTACAGCAAAATTTTTATAAATATTGGACTTATTTAGAAATGCACTTCATCTCCCTTCCAAAGGGTAGCTCTGGAGAAGAATGGAATCTGATTTCAGAGAGTTTGTCATGCACTGTCTGAAAATTACAATTGCTTTGGACTTCTCCTAGCTAAGCTCAATTGTTTTTTATTTGCAGTACAAGTGCAGACGGTATAGAGGCAACTTAGTTTCCTTTTACAATGATTTCCCAGATGTCTTTTAAGCTAAGTAGTGCAGTATTTTAACATTTTGGTTAAATAATTTATTAGGACTGAGTTTACAACTAAATAAGAAGCAGGATGCAATAGACAGATAAGACATTGATATGTAATTGAAATATATCTTCAACGTTCTACAATCTTTCTAAAGGTACTTGGAACATAAAAAATGGCAGAAAAAATACCCTACAAGATGATAGCAAATGTTTTCCTTAGTCAAATATTTTTTTGTTTTACAAGCACAACTGTCATCCTATATGAGTAAAACGGCATGTGCTGTCATAAAGATAGAAGTATTAATAGCATTTTTGAAATCTATTTTGAGTGTGGATCTTTCAAGTGTTTAGAAAGAAGCATTTCAACTGTTTTTCTGGTACGTGTCTCTTGGAAATCAGCATTGTGAGCTATATGTATTCGGCTAGCTATCTGGAAAGAAAGAACATATCTTCTGAGGTACTAAGGGACTGTAGCAGAGACAGGACACAATAAGATCCTTTCACAGACTCTCTGTACCAGAGACAAGAAAGCCTGGGTTCTGTTTTCAAGACAGTAATGTCCTAGGGGCCCATAATACACTAAGTAAAGGATACTGAGATAGAGACACTGACTGTTCAATTCATCTTGCTTGCATGAAAGGATGCCTGCCTTACTCTGTCTCATAGTTTGATCTAAACCATGGCCAGGAATCTTATGCATAACAGAAAAGCTCAGCAGGTGTTCTGTGAGTTTGAAATTTTTCAAAATAGACATTTAAGCCATTACTTTTCACCATTGGTGGTCAATGGGGCAGAGTCTAGTTGGAGACCTGTGTCTAGTGGAGTCCCTCAAGGGTCAGTACTAGGACCAGTATTATTCAGTATGTTCGTCAGTGACCTGGATGAGGGAACAGAGTGCACTGTCAGCAAGTTTGCTGGTGATACACTCCTGAGCTGAGGAAAAATAAGAGGATCTGCAAGTTGAAATAAAAATTACAGTTATAAAATAAAGAATCAGGGAAAAATAAGTATAATGAAAATTTTTAATTAATCTAAAATTAAAAGGAAAAGTCTTCAGCAAAAAAATAGATTCTTAGAATTCCATAATGAAAGAGCATACAGCAATCATTAATATATGTATCTCTATGTGAGTGACTATATTTTATTCTAATCTGTAAAAATTATTTTTTATGGAATTTTCTCAAATGTTTAAGTGACTTAGAGGAAAAAGATCTTTAGACTTTATTTATACATTATTTCTTTAATCATCAAAATTAAGTACACTTAAAATACTTAGCAAGGATTGCTTAAATTGTATATTTTTACCTGAAACATAAATGGTTCTGTGGCAGATGAAAAGTTTAAACATTTTGACAAATGTTCTTGTGGGTCATATTTCTTCACATATGCCTTAATCATGACTGTCTTTGCAGTCCCTTGTTCTCCTATGAGCAAAACTGCCTGTAACAGACATTTAAATCATCTAAGTAGTATCAAAACTTCTAATTAAATATACATAACAGACCTATTTTTAAGACCTCGGTCTACTTTTGAATGATATATTATCCTGGTAGGTTTTTCCTGTGTCTCCATATGCAGTGACACAGTATGTGTCTATGATTGTATGTGGTTGTCGGCCCACCCAGATTATTCTTTGAGCTGCCTAACTTCTTCCATTTTATAACACATTCACCGCAAGTCTCTTGTAGCAGATGATCATAAGAAGGCTTTGTTTATAATGACATCTAATCTGAATTTAACATTTCTACTATTTCCTTTTGCCATACGTATCCTTTGTGACGCATTTGTAACAGAAGGATAGTTCCAACTTCCCAGCACTGTCCTTAAAGCAACAATATAGATTTATCTATATCTGCTCTCAAGCATATTACTAAAAGAGATACTCTAAAGGTCTGTAGAGACATGATGTAATGATAATTACAGGTAAGAATAACAGATACTGAACTGTGTATAGAACTCTTAACTCGCCCAGAAATATCTATGGCCTTGTGGTAAATGTTAGTAAAGGTAGGAAATAATTAGATCAATAAAAGACTGTTGCTTTCCACCTCTGGAAATGTCGTTTTTGCAGCTCCTCTTGTATTCTGTGTATTGTCTAAAATACCTGATCCAGTCTTTTTCTCTAAACTGAATGTGTCAGCAGATAGATAAAAGTGATTTGCAGTGAGTATTATACTGCTCATGTCCCCTGTTAGATGGGCCAGTGAAACTGGTAGGAGAGGAAGCAATTTAACAGTGAAATTCTGAAATGTGTTTTACCTTCCACTCACAAAAGGAACTGAGAACTACTCCTACTTAACAGCAACAAAAGGAAAACAATTTGTTTTCAAAGTAGGCAATTATTCTTCAACTATCCTCAAAAGAACACCATCCTTCCTTTAAGGAACACTGGTTCCTATCCACTCCTTTTTTTCTCCTAAATTGGAATTTTAAGTCTGTTACCCAGGTTCCAAAGTCAAACTATGCTGACATAAACTGACTTAGCAGGAAAGGCCTTCTGGATCCTTAAAGAGTCCATGTGCTCTCTGACAGCTTATGTTTTTCAGAATTGGAACCAAACCTGACCCGTGCTTTTGTCTTGAATTTCATTGACTGCTTTCTTCTAAACGTCCATGAAGGAATACAAAACCAATGCATTTTTTTCAGAATACTTTTAACAAGTTGATTGCTGTTGCACAGGGCCTTTCACTAATCACTTAGTCAGGATATCAAGCTTTGACAAACTCGATTTTGGCCAAGGATATTCACAGAATGGTCAGGAAATCTTAGCATTTTCCCCCCATTTTTTTCACCTTACTGATTTTTTTATCATTGGAAACAAACTACCTTTTGATGAGAATATAATTATTTTGTCCCCTTATCACTGCAGTATTTACAACACCAGCATTTGATGCTTTTAACATGGCACTTGCAGCTCTTACAACTCATACTATCCTAATGTATGCCTCACTATATATATTTGTATTTTTTAAAGCATTTTTACTCCTCTCTGATGGCTTATTCAAATTAAAGGTGCAGAAAATTCTTGATTCAAGCTGGTATTTTGACAAGTATTTTATTTCTGCTTTGTCTTAATATCTTCTACTAAAATATATACTATTATATTACTTATTTTCTGGTTAATTGGTACAGTAAGTGTCATTTCCCTGGGGGAAGAAAAAAATGTGTCAAGAAAGAAGAGAGTTTTTCTTGGTGTTTCCTTCTTATTTTGGTAAAATCTAAATCTAAATCAGAAAGTTGCTGAACCAAGGGATTGATAATTCTTTCCTTTTTTTAAAATCTTTTATAGAAATGTCCCATTTCATCTCATGTAAGTGAGCTAGATAAGAACTCTGCTCATTTTCAGACATGTAAGAATACCCCATGTTTTTTTCCTAGCTTGGGTTTTCATCCTACTTATGTTTTTGACAGATGGTATTATCTTCATTATTATATCCACTCCATGAAAAGAATTTAATCTATTTGCAAAAGGGAGTATGTATGTATTCATGATTGTGAGCAATTAAGTTGATAATGCAGGAGATCTGAAATGCTCAAATACTCCTGAATGATTTGTTCCTGCTTTAAATTAATGCTTTCCAACAGATAGCCACAATGAAACGACATGGTCTCATTCTTTAACCTGTTTTTGAACATCCGAGTGATCAACTGATCATGATAAAAGAGGTGATTGATAGCAATAATCTCACAGAACCAATAAATCAAGTCAGACTTGTAAAACCTCACTTTGATTTCATCTAGTACATGTAAGTCAGCTGTAGCTGGAAAGTTCATGCTGCTGAGATCTGATCCAGGGAAGAAAAAAAAAATATTTCTCTATCACAGTTCAATATGTGATTAAATCAAACCCTACCAAATAAAAAAAATGCTTGAAATCAAAGCAAGCTGACTGCTTCCATGAAGGGAAACATCCTGCTCAGCAGGGAATATAAGCAAGTCCCACGGCACACTGAATGCCGAAACTTTTAAACTGAAGAGAGTAAGACACAAACTGTACACCACAGAAACACTGAATTGTGGAAAATGCCAGGTTTCAGAGAACCTTCTTGGAAGATTTCAGTGTTTATTATTTCTATTGCAATGATGGCCAAATAAATGTACCTGGAAATATAATCAATATCTCCCAAGGCATTAATGTACAAAGATTAATTATTTTATTACAAATATAAAGATTTTGCTTGTTTTCATAATTTCTGTCAAATACATCAAAGGCACAAACACATTATGGCCACTGTAACAGTTTCATCAAACCAAATCAACAGTTTTTCTGTCCAAATCCCAGAATTTTAGAGAAAAAACAGGTTCTAGCACTGGCTCATGCACCTGTGGCAAGGAGTACATTGAATTAAAATTCACAAGTTGACACAGATTTCCACAGGAAATTGCTAGGGTTATTACGAGCATTGTGCTAAAGCAAAATACATATTTTTCAGATCTTTATCTGTTTGAAAATAGGCCTCTATATGTTTTAATAACTATTGTTTAATGTGGCCTGAATTAAAAGCTATGATACCAGATTGATTCTTATTGCTTAAAGCTGTATGAGTGTTCTCTCCTTTTCTATGGTTGTGGCTACTGCTAGTAACCACAGCTTTCCTAATGAGAGAAAAAAAAAATAGATTAAAGGCTAGGAATTTCAGGTTTTTAGTGAACTGCCTTGTGAAATTTATGTTCCTTCTTTCCCTATTCAAGAAAGCACAAATAAGAAAAGTTAATATGGTATAAAGACACAGAAAAAGGTTTTATGTCTTTCTCTAAGAGAAATGATAGATTGTTGGAGTAAAACTTTTATAACAAAAATTATTTTCTAAAAAGGATAGTTTAAATATTTTGCCCATGCACAGAAATAAGTACAGAAGATTCATGTTAAGAAAAAAATACAGCAATACGTAAATAACGATGCACCTGGCAAGCAATGACTAGAGACACAGAATATGAAGAATGACTGCTTTATAAAAAGGTTTCTATTTATTTCATACAGTAGGTATACACTTAAATAGAAATTCTGTACTTACTTTCTGTTGTTTTGCAATTGTGCTTATCAAAAACTGAGTTCTGACATTGTCAACATTTGGAACCAGAATAGACGCATAGTCTGGGACGTTATCTGTTGGATAAACATATTCCTGAATTCTTTTACTCCAGTGCTCCCAGTCACCTGAAATGACAAAAAAAGAGGAAATTATTTCAATAAATTTTGATCACGTTCAACATTTTGTTAACTAAAAAAAAAAAAAAAAAAAAAAAATAAATCCTAGATGTTATGGGTGGAGTACTACTACATAGTACAAGGCATAAATTTTCTCAAATCTAGATAAAAGGCATCTAACAGAGGACATAGTTATGACCTCTACTTAGTCTATAATCCTACTAAATATACACATATTTCTTAAATTTATATATAGCTATCTAAATAAAAAACCCAAAAGAATATTAACCTAGAAAATCATTCTCACACTGCTGGTGCAGGAATTACAGAACGTGAGAGTACAGATTGCATATGTGTACACTAAATCAACATTGCTGACAAAAAAAAAAATCTGAATTTGGATACGAGATAAATAAATGTAGCAATGTGAGAAGATACTCTGAAAGAACAGTAAATTCTTTGTGAAATTGGTTATGTCTGTGTTAAACTATCACAGAATGGAATTAAAAACAAAAGAAATAAGAAAATGTTACCAACGAGCACTCTATACCTTGTTTATGACTTCTCACTTCCATAGAGCTGCTGCATATAGAATCTGTATTACTACTATACTGTCATCAAAACTCTCTTCTCATATGACTGTATAATAAGGACTAAAGGAGTAATTTTAAATTTCAGAGAAGCTATCTTCAATTTTAAAATGCCAGTATAAAAAAAAGAATGTTAGTGATTTTTCTTACCATAGTCAGTAACATAAAACTCATACATCGTTTGACCAGTGCCACGGGAGATTTCTGGTAAGTCTAATTTGTTATCATGAGCTCTAATGAAGGCTTCAAGTTTATCTCTACTGTCCAACTCCAGAAGGGCACCTAAACTCCACATTATTGCAAAGCAGAACAATTTATGCAGATGAAATATAGTTGATAAACCACCTTCTTCCTTCGATGGAATCAAACCCTCCAGAAGATTAATAGACTGAAAATAATTTAAAATATTAAGCGTTAAGAAAATATTACATAATCACTTTTTATTTTCATACATATATGCATATGCATTATTTATACACATTCAAACTTTAAATCATAATTTGAACACCAATGCAGGTTACCAAAGCATAACAGAAAATTCGGAACTACAAACCCAAGAAAACAGATGAGATATATATAAAACTGGATGAAATTTTCAAAATTACATAAATGATTTGATCATCAACTATCCTTTTAAATTATGCCCATATAATAAATGTCATTTAAGAGCTGGGGTAACAGAACAGCTTTTTCAGAGAGCAATCCTCTGTGGATTTTTCTACCCTGAAAATATTGAGACTGGTCTTGAACCTTGAACTTTTATTATAGGTAACATCCTTTAGCAAGATGTTCCATAGGTCTGTTATTCGTGGCATTGAACAATTTGTTTTTTCTCTGTGTGAACCCCTTCATGCTTACCTTCACTAAATTTGATTTGCCATTTTATTACCTATTTATTCAGTCTCATAAAGTCTGTCTACAGTTCTTCATGGTTAGCTGTTTTGTCCTTACTGCCTTGAATAATTTAGTATCATCAGTAAACTTCTTCACCTAAAACTTTTCCAATTGTTTATGAACATTTTGAACAGCATCGGTCCCAGTAAAAGTACCTCAGGATCAGTGGTAACCTCTGTCCTTCCTAAAGAACTGATACTCCAATCACACATTTCCTAACTTCTAATCAGTTATTTATCTAGAAATGAACCTCTTATCTTCTGCTATGACTGCTTAGCTTCCATGTAAATCCCTCATAAAAAAACTTTGTCAAACACATTTGTTCCTTTATGTAGACCATATCAATCAGATCTCCTTTAGCTACAGTTCTATTGACTTTTCCAATAGGTTTGTATGGCAGGATAACCCTAAACAAAAACTGTGTTGAATCTCCAAAAATAAATTATATCTGTCCACCTAACAATGTGGGCCAGATAATGGCAAATAGCCAAAAGAAAACACATCAGTAAAAACAGCAGAAAAAAAATAATTCAGGAACAATACTAGAATATATACAGTTAGAAAGTCAGTGGAAATTACAAGGAGGAAAGTAAAGGTGAGATCACTATTTATCTAAAACCATTATGAAGCTGTTGTAGATTAAAAAACAGCTTAAATTGCAAATGCTACCAAATGGCAGATAATTTGGTACATATGTACATGTGGGTGAACATCCAAAACCGAACTTTAGAACTCAAGTACACATCTGCCAATCTGCTAGACACAACTGGTTTGAGATGGTTGTAAATTTTGAAAACATCTGAACTAAACAAAAATGGCATGTCCCGAGTTCCACAATTAATAAAGACATAAGACATGAATTAAGGAGGCTGATAAGGTACAGTGCTTCTGCACATAGACTATTTGTGGCAAAACAGGGATCTTAAGCTTCTGGAAAGCAGAGGTGGTGTGGAAAAGAAGGGTCCTCAAAAAAGGGAGTCTTGGGGAAAAAACGGGCTCAGAAAGAAGGAGGTGAATATCCTAGTTGGAGGAAAGATCCTGGAAATGTGGAAGATCCTAGAGATCAGAGAGATGCATGCAGATAGATGATGCCAAGAAACCTTGTCAAGTAATGCCTAGTCCTGGTAGCTGCAAGCAGCTGCATAGCACAGAAAGCAACATGACTTTTTGCCCTGCCTTCCCACACCAAGAATGAAATCCTTGCTGGGAAGAGAAATCAAGACTAAGAGAATGTAACATTGGAGGAGGGGAGCAAGTGAGGAAGTGAATCCGTCAAATGATCAAGTAGGGTAAAAGCTCTGGACACACTGGTTCTTAGATAAACCCCAGCAAGGAGATCCACTAAGGGTTATTTACACTGTGCCAACTATGACAGAAATTTACAAGAGATTTTCATTCACAGGAAGAAACATTCTATACAGATTAAATCAGGGAAATATCTCCCTGATTGAACAGTAGGAGTATACCACTGACTTGCTCACACTTCCTAACAAGCCCTAATCAAAAATAACATTTCTAGTCCCAGGAAAAGTCTTCCATGAAGACAATATCAATTCAGCAAGGTGTTTCACAGATAACAAATGTAGAAGAAAAAAATATTCTCTCTCTCTAAAAATTTTGTGCTCAGTACGTCCATCTTGTTTATCATCATAAATTGGCAAGTTACATAGTTTCTGCCTGTGGACCTCAGTTCTATAGATATCTTAATTCCATTTGATACTGCACACTTAATCTCTGCAGCATTTACTGTGGCCACTAATTTGCAGCAAAATACTTCAAACTGTTGAAAATCTGAAGCTAAATCCCTAATGAATAGTAAAGATATAGAAGGTGCAGATCGACTAGTTTAATATTAAATTGAAGTGTTATCCAAAACCTCATCTTGTCTACCATCTTATTTGTTAGGAGAGCGTCCGTATAAAAATCAGATTGCATGGACAAATTGAAAACCTGGAGACTTAGAATCTGCAGATGACAACAGACTCATAAACAAATCAGCTGGAGACATGCAGTATAGGACTGACAGTCTTGCAAAATCTGCCAAACACATAATTTTATTATTAATAAATCACAGATAAAGTTTGGACTCTACTCAAGGCAGAATTCCAATTGATAGGAAAGGACAGGCAAAAATTACTACACTGACCTTGGAAGAGCTGACTGTCAGAATTACAGCTATTACATCTTGAGATAAAAAGATAATTAGAATTATTCTTCACTCTTTCTGCTGACACTACCGGTGGGGTTAGACTGACCCTTACCACAATTTGTTTGGTATTAGAAGAACTAGAATGAGACCATTAGTTTATTAAACATATGCTTCTAAAAACTTACTGAAGCCTGCAAATTCCAGTCAACAGAAGGCTAGCCCACATATGAAGCAATAAAGAGAAATAAAATTTTCTTTTGCACCTCTCTAACAGTTCTTGTTATATTGCCTAAGAAACAAATACTTAAGAGTTTGAGGTTTTCTGTTAGGAAAAAAATATTTTCAAATGAAATTTTATTGCTATCAAATGTTCTTTTTGCTACTTCTGCACAGTTACTATAGTCTGTCAATTCCTACAGAGTTATACAGTGTCTGTTTTACCTGCATAATGTAGTTACATTCCAGAAGCTCCATTTTTGGATTAAGGTTTCGTTTCATATATGTATATGCTCGTTCAAAGATTCTATCATACAAACTTTGTAAAACTTCAGCTTCTTGAGGAGAACGTGTTTTCAGCCATGCCTGAAAAACATCCACAATATTCTTCTGTTTAAAATGTATAACAAGGTAAAGTTAGGAGTAGCCAGCAATTATAATCTTACTTGCAATATTGGTCTCCAGCTGAGGGCAGAAGAACTGATGTAGACCATACCCATTCGAGAAACTGTTGCTGGAGAGGCATTCTCAATGTTGTGGACTTCAAATAACAGTTTACATGTAGGAGACATAGGAATTCGATCTCCATTTGCTAGAGTGAGGGTCTTGTTATCATCCAAAACTGAATTTAGATTCTCAATCCAGATTGCATCTACAGGACCATCTAAAATCAGAAACACATTTTCACCTGGAAAAATAATCAAAAGAGATATAGTTCATATCACCATGCTGAAAGAGCAAGAAAATAAGTTTTACAAAAGATGGTCTAGAACTTAAGTAATGTATAAAAATATAATTTTTTTTAATTGTAATTTCATCTCCATGGATGCTAATTACTGTATAAATCACATACTTAGTTAAGGAACTATCTTTTAAACAATTAGTAGCAAATGAGGGCACAATAATATCTTTATAATGTGGAATATCTGTGGCTATATACCTTGGCTGGCTGCCAGAGACTGCCCCGCTCTCTCACTTCCCCTCCTCAACAGGACAGGGGGAGAAAATAAGGTGAAAATGCTTGTGGGTTGCGGTAAAGACAGGGACATCACTTTCCAACTACTGTCACCAGCAAAACAGGCTTGACTTGGGGAAAATTAATTTATTACAAATTAACATAGACTTGGATGAAGAGAAAAAACCTAAAGCACCTTTCCTCCACCCCCCTTACTTTCTTCAGACTCAGCTTCCTCCCAACCTAATCTAACTCTTCCACTTTCCTGCCCCAGCCAACTGCTTCTGCACACAGAGGATGGGGAATTTAGCAGTTTTTTTGCTAAAATAAGGGGGGTTTTGGCAACTAAACAAAAGGTATTGAATATTCACAGATCCCATTTAAATTAATGAAAACTACCATCACTCATCAACTCTGAAAATCTAATAATTTTTCTTTTATTTTGAAACATAAATGCAGATGAAAACACCTAAATTTTCACAAACAAATTTTAAAATTCTGGATTTGTTTTGAATATATAAAATTTCCAATAGAGAAAATATGGACATTTCCAATAGAGAAAAATCAATTTTCTTTTAAAAAGAACCTCCTTCTAGGAAGGTTCCCTAGAAGAATTCTCTTTCTTTAATATAAATATTTTTTTTTTTTTTCAGACACAAATGAATCACTGTGGAAAGGAATTTCAGTATTCTAATCCTAAAATATTGAAATATAAATGTGGGTAATCAATTCATGAAAAACTATGGGGAAAAAAACCCATTACTTTAAATCTAGTGCAATTAGTGCAAGTAAATTGAAATTGTAATTTATCAGTTTCCAAATAACATATCTGCACTCTAGAACTGGAGTGGCAAGGAAATAAACAATTTTTTAATGTAGATATACTACTGAAATAATGGATTTTTTAACTGTCACCCTTTCTTGAGAAGTTAACTGTAACCTCATCTATGTTCTGTACAGTTTCTCTTAAGAGGGAACTTCACCACATTTGCAAATTCAAAATGTTTTTTTCAACATATCATTCAAGAGCTATTTTTATGATATCACACACAAAGTATTTACATACCCTTTTTAGCTTTCAGTGTTTTCCTCCACAGTGTAGAAAAGATTCCATCTGTCCAATCATTAGTTGCAGCATCTAGTTTTCCAAACATTTGAGGAGCAGTAATAGCTTTGGGGTTCATACGCATTTCTCTATGAGGCTGGCCACATTCTGTCAGTGCTCTCATTAGTATAGTTATGACTGTTGTTTTTCCAGATCCACTAGGTCCAAGTGTCATCAACCCATGACGTACTAGAGAAGTTTCATACAACTATATAAAAAATTAAAATGTTTTAAGAAATACATGCTTTTGGAAGATGTATACTTACTTGCGTTTGATAGTCAGTGATTATAGATGCATTACACATACAAATTATGTGCTTAGAATTTAAATTGGCATTCATTTGTTAATTTTTTGTGTTTTGTGGAATAGTACATACCTTTACATCCTAATCTTCAAAGTACCAAGCAAGTTTACTATAAAACAGTTTACAGAACTAAATCTTGTTTAAACTTTTCAAAGCAACTGAAAATAATTTTACCAGATCTTAAAAAGGATTTTCTGTATTATTCAAAAGGAAAAATAAATAGTAGCAGGACATTAATGCGACAGAAGAATGACTAATCACTACAGTACCAAAATACCTGGGTATATGAAATAAACATAGGGACTGCACTTCCTACAGGATTGCAGATAGGTTTAGGTTCCGGACAGTTCTTTATTGAATTGTATATTTTATTTTTACATTAGTTTTAGGCTTGCTATAGAAGTGGCACAGTCTGCCTACACAAATATCTCCTTTTGGAGCAACTGAAAGGAAAAAAAATGTGGCTGTACTCCTGAACAACAGAACCTTGTAAGGAGGAACATATATAGCTGCTTCCTCTGCAAGCTGAATAAAGGCTTGTATCAGTCCAGGAGGCAGATCTACAGGTACCACAAATCTAAACTAAGATCAAGTCCACCATGAACCTGACAATTTCAAACTTCTTATTCCCAGTGGAAGATGGAATTTGTTAAGGCACAAGCAATCTTCCTACGACCAGTTTGGCAACCATAAATACTAAGCTGTGAATACAACAGTGAACACAAAGTTAAGCAGGATGTTCAAAAGTGTTTTCCCCCATGCAAAAATTCTACTGATCAGAGTGAAGCTGTGTGAAGGACAATATAGGTCCAGCCTGCAGAATATGCAGCAAAACCTTCTGTAAATTAGGTTAAATCTAAGTAGAACCATAAATATACCTCTGGTTTGATGTCAGAGACATGATATTTTATTTGTTGTGAAGTAACATAAAGCAGAATGTTGCACTTTGTCAAAAACTGTAACGCATTGTATCTTTTGCTCTCATTCAACAAATCACATGGCAGTTTCGTTTTTTAAGATAGACAAGTTTGGAGATTTGCAGAAATCTGGTAATAAGCACTAAGGTCAGAGTGCCTTTCTTGGTTTACATCTACTTTCTTTTAAGGTACTTAGCTGATAAGAGCCAACTTACGGCTCTAATTTAAGGCTGTACAGCCAATGGACAAGCCTAGCACTTCAAGGCCTGTAGTTACAGAGTCTCTAATTTGAGGTTGTATTCCAAAAAGATGCAAACATATTTCCACAGGGTAAAATGTTCTTAAGAGTCAGCTGTTGTAGCTGTACTCTCATCTTGTCAATCAGTAAAATTACAAATAAATGTTTCTAGAGTATAAATATAGTTTTCAGACATTAGAAATGGTAAAGTTTACTAGTCTTAAACATTAACAGTGCTTAAAAACTATCCAAAAAGTAGAGGCAAATAAAATATGAAAATTCAATGACAGCATAATTCTTCTCTGGTTGACAAATTTTACAAAGCAAAATTCAATTTAATCAATTAATGGAATTTAAAAAAAAAAATCACTAATTAAGGCTACAAGCTCAATTACAATAAATAGTATAGCCAATAAAGTGAAGCTGATCACTGTATAAAGCATGGTATTACAAGAAACAGTGTTCACACCTTGTTGTCTGCATGCAGAAAAAACCCAAAGAATCAGAGAACACAGGAAACAAACAAAAAAAAAAGTAATGTTTAAAAATATCATTATCATCAATAATTAAAGTGTGTGTTCAAAAAAGAGTATAACAAAAAGAGAAAAGAGCAACAATGCTCTAATTACCCTTCTAGCTTGTCAATTTATAATTGTTTCATGATTGTCTAATAATTTATTTCTTGAGTTGTTAGTCTGCTTCATTTGTTAAGTTTGCTCTTTAAAGAACGATGTGTATAGGGAAGTGTGCTAGCATAGAGATCATCAGAATATGAGTTAACTGTCTTCAACAATAAATGCAAAGTTAGTTTCGAACATGATTGCATGTCAGAAATACAACTCCCAGTTATTTAAATGTTATGTTGGAGAACAAGTCAAAAAAGCCATTTAAGCACCTTTTTTCCTTCATATTAAATAACAACATACTCATTAATCTGCAACACATCGTAAAGATTATCCCACACTAAATACAAATTACCATAATCCAAACATACAGTTTAATCATTAAATCATTAATTTACTAAACATAAGTGTCTTACAAAACTCAAAATAATTTCTTGCAACACCTTAACAATTTTCTCTCTTTTGCTTTTCAATCAGAACACACTCCATGTCACACTCCATCTTGCAACACAAGGTAAACAAAACACTACACCCCCGACAAGCTGCCAGCACACAGGGTCTACTTCCCCATTCTTCAAGTGCCAAGAACCAAGTGTTAGTCACCTCAAAGCAAGAAACTTTTTGCTTTATGTAAACATTGCCTACAACAACTTTTTGCTACACAGTCTCTCATTCAGATTCTATGTATTTTTTTACTCATTTTTACTAAAACTCTTTCATGCAGGTAACATGGGGATACATATTCCACTTAGGTGGGGTCTTTCCACAGTATTCAGGTGGTTAATGCACCTCAGAAGGATACTAACTTTGAACACTACAGATACAAATTAACAGTAGCTGCGCGTGTTCACATCCTTTGTAGTCTAGAAAGCCTCTAAATCACAGAATCACAGAATGTTAGGGATTGGAAGGGACCTTGGGAGCCCATCCAGTCCACCCCCCCCCACCCCGCCAGAGCAGGTTCACCTAGAGCAGGTTGCATCCAGTTGGGTTTTGAGTATCTCCAGAGAGGGAGACTCGACAACCTCTCTGGGCAGCCTGTTCCAGTGCTCTGGCGACCTCTCACCGTAAGTTTTTCCTCATGTTTAAGTGGAACCTCCTGTGTTCCAGCTTGTGCCCCTTGTCCTATCGCTGGCCACAACTGAAGAAGAGTCTGGCCCCATCCTCTTGACACTCGCCCTTCAGATATTTATAAACATTAATAAGGTCCTCTCTCAGTCGTCTCTTCTCTCGGCTAAATAGGCCCAGCTCTCTCAGTCTTTCCTTGTAAGAAAGATGCTCTGGCCCCTTAATCACCTTTATGGCCCTCCGCTGGACTCTCTCCAGAAGTTCCCTATCTCTCTTGAACTGGAGGGCCCAGAACTGGACAAGTATTCCAGATGCGGCCTCACCAGGGCAGAGTAGAGGGGAAGGATCACCTGCTTTGACCCTCTTCTTAATGCACCCCAGGATACCATTGGCCTTCTTGGCCACAAGGGAACATTGTTGGCTCATGGTCAACTGTCCATCCACCAGTACTCCCAGGTCCTTCTCCACAGGGCTGCTTTCCAGAAGCTTTTAAAATCTCTTTATAGATTTAATCTTTCAATCACGCATGTCCTTGAGAGAAACAATTCCCTTTGTATGACAGCATCATTCCTGTTACTGACACTATTTTTGGTTCTTTCATTTTACAGTACCTACATGCATGTTCACTTACATGCTTAAACTTGTTATAGGTTTCTGTAAGCTTGTCATAGCATATGTTAAGACATATACACTCTATACATCCTGATACTTTAACTCTCTCAACTCAATACAGATAAACTGGACGATTACCAAACCAGTTGTATAGGTTCTCAAAACTTATGTGAGAAAACCCTTTATATACTACAATGTCTGCTCAAACTCATAATTAAGACTCTTCCTCATTACAGAAACATATTTAAGATGGAAATACATACCTCTTACATTTATCTTTGCTAAAGATAAAGATCTTTTAGCTGTCTCCTCCTACTTAGCAGAGTTTTGCCCTGGCTGTTTCTTCTCAGTATTTGCTGCATTGGCCTTCAAAGTACCAGTCCTTCTTATGCCCTACTGTCCCTACTCTAGTCTAAGACACTCATGTTAGAGACCCACATAAGTGCCTTGCTGCTTCATTCAGGTAACATAGATGCACTACCAGATCTGTGAAAGGCTGGGTTAATAGCACACTTTAAGGTATTTTTTTCTTCTTCTGGATAATTTAAAGAAATGAAAACATAAGTCACTTGGAATGGTCTTCCTTAGTGTGGTGTACACACAACCTTCAGTTCCCATATTAGAAGCATAGGTCTCGGAGTGAGACAGTATTTAATTACTAACATGGTATTCTGACTCCTGTTTGTTAAAAATGTTTTGGAAAAAAAAGTTTTACCTGAACAAGCTTAAGATTCCACGGTGGATGATTAATCAATCCTGCCTCTTCAACCTGATTAGCTACTGCAACCTGAAGCTCAGTATAGGTACTACTGTCCAGTTGTAACCCCGGAAAAAGATCATTGATAAGACTGAGAAACAAAGGCTCATCTTCATCTATCTGAAACAAAAAAGTTAAGTGCTTAAAGCATGGTTAACCAAAGAATGTTCTCCTACCAAAATTAATCTCTATTTTAAAATAATAAACTGTAAGAATGTATTTTCTAAATACAAATGCTTATGTTCATAAACACAGCCAGCCAATAGTATAGCTCACTACAAAAATAGCATTTTGAAAACATCACCCATATGCCATGTGAGAAATAAATTCAAAATTGAAAGAAATTTACCACTGAGTAGATACTGTAAACCATCTGTAAAATTGATTTGTAAAAAACTTGCAGCATATATTGGAAAGAACATCCTATCTGGAAATAAATCTTTAAAACTCTAATTTAGTGGATACTCAATTTGTTAACTTATGATACAGCAGTCAGTCTGTACAAAAGTCAGTACATAAAATGTCACACCCACAGCTAAGTCACTATTAACTTATTTGAATCTGCACCTTGAGCAGTGTTTACAAGTCTAGTATATTCTCATTGCTGTTTAAACATAACATTATTATTATCCTGTTTCAATTTTTAAAGAGATGCTTGAGATTTTTTCTAACCTTCTACAAAACACCATGAAATATCTTGTAGACTTGACTTTATATGGTGCTAAAATATTAAATTAGCTTCTTACCAACTTAGAGAGATTCATATCTCTTAGCCCTCTCATAACAATACTTAATTCACTTTCATTTGGCCTGGCCCTCTTTTGGGTTCCAAGAGTCCTCAGTACTGAAAGGATATTCCTCAGACCAAAGTCATAATGGACCTAGAGAGTGGAAAAAGGCTTAGGCATCAGTAACAAGTGCTCTAGCTATATTTCATCGGTATATCAAACCTTACTTGCATATTGTATAGTATAGTCACACTGCCTGGAAAAGATAGCTAAAATAGGAAATGTTGCTGTTGGTCAGCAACTATTCTATTAATATAAATGAAGGCTAAAAAAGATATTTTCAAGAAAGGGAGAGGAGGTTATAAGGTTTTTCTTTTTGAATTTAAATTTAATTGACTTCACCATTTATAATGCCATATATCAATTTTTCTTCAGGGTTCTAAATAAAATAATAGTTCCATTCCAGGCTGGGTCTTTCTAAACAAGGCAGCTTAAAGCCAAGACTTCAGATCAAAGCAGTGCTGTGGGGAAAAGGGCAGCTTAAATCAAACTTGAGACTTTCCTCCTGTAGTTACCAATTTCCAACCACTTTCTCTCTCCCTAGATAATTCTTACAGAAAAATGACATAACCAGGTTAATTTTTACCTGGCTGCTATGTTTAGGCAGAGAACCTTATGCAATTGCAACTACAAATGGCCATATTTTAACAATTAAACAAATATTTCTATGTGACTACATATACATAAATTAACATGGTTATTTGATAAAAAAAGTTATGGAGGTATTTGTTTAAACTATATTTAAACTACTTCAATATTTTGTAAACACCATAAAAGTGATGCTTCAAAAACAATCTACACAAACCAAAACCTAAGGGGTTGTAACATGTAAATATGAAGACAAAGAGGATGTGAATACATAACACTACCTGCTTAGTGAGCTGCTCCTCACAAAGTTTATAAAGAACAAAGAATTTCTGAGACAAGATCACATTATCAATAAATCCGTAACTTGCAAGCTTAACTCTTATAATTATCTGAAATTAAATTTTTTAGAAATTCCATTAATTTTTCTGAAGATACATAAGCAAAGTAAAATACTTTTTTTCTTTCAGTTCAGTCATTAATTGTACCTGTCTATCTGGAACCATCATTGCAACAGTTCTAAACTGAATTTTTAGATTTTCTGGTAGTTCTTGACGTCCAGCATATCCAGGATTCTATATATGAAAACATACTGCATTATTATTTATAACAGTCAAAATAACATCCTTTTTATTTTTCAATAACAGTAAATTTATGCATAAATACCTAGATCTGTTCAGTTAGAACACTTGTCTACTAATGATTAAAATGTTAGGAAAAGCTTCAGCCATAACTATGAATTTAATAGTCTATGCACAATTGCCAGAGTAACGACTGAATTTCTTTCTCACAACAAGCCAGAAATCAGAATTTTAAAATGTCATGGAATAAAGTTGGTTGATTCTTCTAGCCTATTCCCAATGCAAATAAAGTTTTCATTACCATTTTGCAGGAAAGGTAGGTTTTGTAACATATTAAAAATTCAGTGTCTAGCAAGAATCAAAATAATAAAAAAAGGATAACAAGCAGTATACAGTGAAGAAATATTAGGATGTCCTTCCCTATTTCTTGTGTCTAAAAGGCTAGCCTTATACTACAGAATCTTACTGAATATTTGTTTGTGAGAGAGTCCTATACACTGAAGTAAGAATCATCTAAGAAATTGTAATTCTCTTTTAGTAACAGAACAGATTTTTATAACGGTTCAAGAACAGACAGAGAATATTTTGTAATGACACAGTAAAAATAACAGTGAATAAACTTAAAACATGAAAACTTTACAACAAAATCATCTGAAAGAGAATTTTAATGACCAAGAAAGTTTGACTAATAGAAGATCTCTGGAAACTTGCCGCAAACATGAGGAATAACTCTGACATCAAACAGTTGACATTTAAGAAACTAGAAGCAGTCAAATATATTTATGACCTCCTCAGTTATTATCCCGCACTTAAACATGCAGATGAAGATTTTACTTTCCCATAAAGTCATCTTAGATTGCCATCTGCCTTGGCATTAGGAAACTTACACTGTAAAATTCCCTGCCAGTGAGATTACAGAAATTAGTGCTATGAAGCCTCAGAAACCCTATGGCAACAAGACAGCATACTCTAAAAGTCAATATTCTAAATCCAGGAGTTTGTGTTTCTCTCCTGGGTAATGGTTGGTAGCTGGTGTTAAATTATACGTACTGCCTTGCATACCTTTTTTGCGCAGATTATCCATTCAGTTGTAGGACCTAAATTTGATCTGTATATACTGCAAATCTTTTTCATAAGTAGTCATTAGAAGAAAGGGAACAATGTATCTCAAAGACCACTCATAAAAACTTCATGATATGATGCACAGTTCTGTCATAATGCCCACACTGATTCCCAGATTGAGGCACAGAGCAGAATGGGTCCCTTCGCCACAGAAGGCCAAAAGCGTACATACAGCATTGTATTTAGCAGTTTAGACACATCCTCTATCAACAAGTGAAAGGATCTGATAAATTTTTGCACAGGTTTTGGAAAGACCTGTTGTCATCACAGTACAAGGAGAGTTGTTTATTCCAGAATTATGCTTGTTTTCTGTAAAGTAGTTTGAAGAACTCTTCTTATATATCCATGTAAAGTACCCATTAAACAAGACGTATGTCCTTGAAAAATCTCTTTCCTATACTCCTGCTTTAAGTGAATTTTCTTTTTTTTTTTTTTTTCCTACAGATCTCTCTCACTAATACTGTTAAAGCATTTCAAGCTAAGGTAGTAAAGCACATTAGTGTTTCAGTCCTCTCAGTGAGCACAGAGGATTCTGGAAGTTTGGCCGAACCCTTAGTCTGCATAATGAACTGCAATACAGTAGTGAAGGCACACAACTATGAACCTTTTCAATAATCTTAAAGTAAAACTGAAGGCATGCAATTCATAAATAATCAGATTATTTACATGTTCCAGTAGTTTGGCCTAATTCTATAGCAACAGCAGCACTTAATTAATAAAATAAGTTTATTTTTACCTTGCCATTTAATTAACTTGTATATAGTATAATTTCTCACTTCTATGGAATTATTACTACATTTACCATTGTTAGGAAAATTCCAAACTCTGGATTTAAATCTACACAGTCTCCATCAGAAAAAATGAACTGCTTTTTTCTTTCTTTTCTTGCTGTTAAAATAATATATATTTGTTGTGCTGCTACTGACAAGACGGGCAACTCAATTCGGTTGAATTCATCAAAACATCCCCAAGATCCAGACTGTGCAAGACCTAAAACAGAGACAGAAAAAATTATCATCTGTTGTTCTTCATGCACATTTGAGATATCTGAACTAGATGACTTTTCCTTCAAATAATTAAATAAGATTAGTTTTATTTAATGCCCCGTGGCCAAGGCCTATCTTCCACCAATCCACCTGACTATTTCCATATCAGTTTGAATTAATATTAGCTGATTTATATAAAATGCTTAAAAAGGAATCAAAATCAGAAAGGATCTTTTGATATCTTGGGCTATTTGACAGATCTTTCATCCAGATCTTTCTCTGAAGGCAGTCTTTTATTGTAAAGCAGCAATTAAATTATTTGTAAAAAGCTGTATTGTTAATCTAAAAAAATAAAAATAAGTGACTTAGAGCTACAAAAGACTAGCCCTAAATGTTACAACAAAAGTAAGTTTTTTTATTTTTATTTCAGCCTTCCAGTCTTCACAATGCTTTTAAATTACTTTTTACTTGCTGCTTATAAATCATAAAGGTTAAAATTTAATAAAGGTTAAAATTAAAAAATAAATTGAAATTATTTTTGCACTAACTAGGGTTTTAAATAGAACTCTGAATCTCACAAAACAGAAAATATTCATTTTAGATCATATATTTCTATGCATAAGCATTGCCATTTTAAGTCTACACTAAACTACAAGTTTTTCATGTAATGGTACAGGATATTAACAACATGCAGTGTGTGGACAGTGCTCTGTGTGAACTTGCCTATGAAAGAAAGAGAGGAATACAGAGAAAGAAAATTAAGTGGAAAGAAAAATACAGAAGCACTATATTGATAACAATAAGATTTTCATAAAGGATTAATTTCACAGTTGTTAAATTTCAGTTTGGAAAAGTAACATATTTAGTGGCAACTAAGAGAATTTTTGTCTCTTTAGACACATTTTGTGAGAAAATTTTTAGCAGTATTTTTTCCAAATGACATTCAAGTACAAGCAGGTGGTAGTTTTCTTTCATGTATACTGAAAGACAGCTATTTAAAAGTGAAAAATTTATCCAATTCATTCAGGGTTTATTATTGTTACGCAGTTAAGGCTAAATCACTTTAAAGTCTGTCATGTACTCAAAGACTTTTAAAAATTTTAATAGCTTGACTTTCAAAGGGGAAATACATTTATAAATCCATAGCTCTGAGCTGACAGAAACCTCATGAAGTTCAAGTCCTTTATCTGGAACAGAATAACACCATGCAGCCGTACAGGCTCAGTGCTGACTGGCTACAATGCAGTTTGGCAGAAAATAACCTGGTGTCCTGCTTAAGAACTAATTGAGCATGAATCAGAATTATGTCCTTGTCGCAAAGGAAGCCAGCTGCATATTGGACAAGAGCGTAGCCAGCAGCTTGAGGCAAATCATTCTTTGCCTCTACTCTGCACTTGTGAGATAGCAGCTGGAGTGTGCAGTTTGGGGCTTACCACTAGAGAGTCAATGATGTACTTGCATGAGTCCAGCAGATGGCTGCCATGATGGTCAGTGGCTGGAGGACATGACCGAGGGAGAGGTTGAGAGAACATGATTTGTTGAGCCTGAAGAGAAAACTAAGGGGAAAGCCTATTGCCAATAGGAAGCACTGAAAAATTGGAGCCAGGCTGTTCTCAGAAGTGCAGTGGAACAAGAAGAGACAATAGACACAGGTTTCAATATGGGAAATTCCAAGTCAATGGAAGTATAAAAAATGTTACCATGAGGATGGTCAAACACTTGAACAGGGGCCCAGAGGTGTTGAGAACATCCATCCCTGGAGATACTCAAACCCCAACACTAATAAAGTCCTGAGCAACCTGCTCTAACTGCATCTACTAAATGACCTGTGGAGGTCTCTTCTATCCTACATGAAGAAGTCTTACCTTTGAAAATCCTACCCAGACCTCTGAAGTCCATTTGATCAGAGCAGTTAAAAACTACTACGTATTTTCCCAGAGCCTTTCCCATGTCTTTCGTCGTTTCTGTTTTACCAGTTCCAGCTGGTCCTGCTGGAGCTCCTCCCATGTTCATTCCCAAAGCCTGCGCTAAAGTTATATAGCACCTATAAATGTTAATTTATATTATTTTATTAAATCATATGAAAGATATATGTGTATATATGTAAGATAACAATGAGTTGTGATAGATTCTACAGCTTTTATGTTGAAACATTACTTATTCATAAAGTAATTCCATTGATTTTCACAAGTGCAGGAAGTTCAGAGTGGTAAAAATAACAAAATATAGCATTTAAACATTAATTACAAAAGCAGAAAAATTTATCTGGTGTTAATCTAGTTTGTTACAAACTGTGAATATTAGACAAGCTAAAAAATTAACACACACCACACAAAGGAATTGTATTGTCATTAACTCTTTTTGCAGCTATAAAAAGCAGATTCTGCTGTTGAATTCCGACACCTCATCACATTCTTCAATATCTTAAGCTGTATGCATTTCATTATATTAGGTCATCTTGGCCTAAATCCTCAAGTGTGAAAGAATAAGGATATATGGCCCCTTCCACAATGATGGGCAAAACATTTTTCAATTCCAAGGAAAAAAAACCCTAAGCTTCTCTTTAAAAAAAAAAAAAAAAATAATAATAATAATAAAAAAAAAATCTTTAAAAGTTTAGACTGCTGTTTTAGTGAGTCTTAGCTACAATTTTAATTCATGGTAAGGTATAGAAGAGTAACACTTAAGGAATTAAATGATGAAGTTCCTATACAAATGATGGGATATCTTCACTGTCAAATCAACTCAACATACTCTGAATGCATTTCCAACTAAAGTACTTGTGGTTTTAATCCATAATTGAACAGAGTTCAATAACTAACTAGTTCCTACAATTTAGCTTGAATCACTATAATATGTTATGCCAAACTTGCACTGCACGTACCTTGATGTTTTCTAACCAATAAGAAATTTTAAAGTGACATAAAGGTTTAACTTCTACGCTTCTATTGGGATCAAGACAAATTTTGAGGTAGAATATAACATTTTCCATCAAAAATATTTGATTGTTGAGAGCAGTACAGTTCACTGCAGAAATGTACTGAACTTCCCATATTGATACAATAGCAGTTCCTCCTTTTCTGGAGAAATAAAGGTGTTCAAAAAGCTGTACAGACACGTACTCCACAGAGGTAGCAAAGTGAATGATTGCAGGCTGGAAATTATTTTTTGTTCTTGAGAGCATCTTTTTGCAAGTGAAGTATCTTCTGGTCTTCTATTTTCTCATTTGGTCAAAAGTGACATCTCAGGAAAGAAATAAATGGAGGAAAAATTTTGATAAAAAAAAAAGAAGCCAAAAAATTCCCAAGACAAAAAAAGAAAAATAGTTCTCATTGTTAAGCCACATTTGAAACAAAATTAATGGTCATTTGTTTGCCTGATTACAGAAGAATGGCAAGCGAGTGCATACAGGTGGGTATTTGTCAACACCTAGATCCTTATGAACATGCCTAAACTGTTTCCCAGTAGTAATAAAATGACAGACACTGACTAGCTGTCTTAGACTTCCAAAGACATCGACAGCCAGAAAATCTTTATAGAATCCCTTATTACAGATTTTGAAATATTTGACCTAATCTGTTCTTCAGTATAGAAATAATGCTAAACTATACATTACTATATAACCTAGGAATTACTAAGCGTACAAACTAGTGAGACTGTATTTTACCTTTTCTAAAAGAGTGTGATTAAGCAAATGAACGAGAAGATTTTCATGAATGACCTAGCCCACACAGGACTTAATTCAGAATGTATCTCTTTGAAGATATGTTAAATAAACACTATATATATTAAAAGTATTCATTATGTATAATTGTTTTTCTAACCTGTCTGTAAGAGGTGTTATAACCAGACGATCAGTGCAACCCAGAAATTCATTTTGGTAAACAAAATCAACATCGGTAATGGATACGATGACTTGATCGAAATCCTCTTTGAAGTAGAATCTAGACTGCTTTAACCATTCAAAATCAGTTGGTGATTTGATGTGCATTTTTACCTTAAAAGAAAGTAGAGTAAATGTATATGTTATAACTGAGCATTGTTTGTTGTCTTTGATAACTGTGATAAAATGCTTTTTTTTATGAGAATAATGAATGATTACTCAGGTTAAAATTCCTATGTAAGTAAACTGAAATACGTATAAGCATCACATAATATGTTCATACATATGCTAAACTGTTATTTTAAATTGTCCTGATCACTTAACCTGATCACCACACATCTGTGTTAATAAAATAAATCTTAAATTGCTTTGGTAGTGCAGCTCATCCTCCAAGTGAAATCAGCTAATTACACACCACTAAATCCACCAAGCACATTGGAACAAAGGACATGATGAAGAAAGGATCTGACTGAGGCATGGAATGCAAATTGTGTAGAAACTAATAAGCTTGTGTCATCAGGAGTGAAAATACATGAGAGATGTAGTGTTGAGAGATGGCATTCCTCAAAGAATAAAGGAATGTAAACAATTTAGCACAGTCTAAAAAGTTCAAGTATAGGATTGGCATATGTTGATTTTAGTAAGGTTTTTCGTTTGTTTGTCTTCTATGTATTCTCCTTAGGAACCAGAAAGAGAATCTGAGTAACCTGCTCTCCAAAGGAGTAGGAGAGAGACAAAGAAGAAACTAGGAGATATGGAAGATATTGCTACCATTGCTGTAACTCTAGAATGGGTGAAGCTAAAGTGCAGCCTAGTGCTAACTACTGATATTCTGTAACAAGCCATGAGGAAATTACCTATGATGATAAAGCTACAACACCCTCAGCAGACTCAATTTTTTTAGTTATGGAAGTAGAATAATACAACAGTTTTTCAAAGAAAGGATATATTAAAAGGTTTTTGTCTATCAAAACAATTCTGTAGGAAGAAGTGGAAAATTTAAATGTTCTAAGAACAGTGCAAAAATTTGGAACAAATATTTAGATTACAGAACTGATGGATTTTATTCTAGTTCAAGCAAAAGTGTACTATTTTTACTATTTTTTTTTATGGTGACATTATGGACATCTCTGTCTTAAAAACACATGCATTTACATGTGCAGCTGTAAGTAGTTACCACATATAAGAAAAACTATTATGACACAAAATGCATTTAGTTGTCAGAAATTAAAATCTGTACTTTACCAGATCATCAAAAATATCACGCTGATGAACATGAATGGTTATAAGTGTTTCAAATTTCACTCTGTCAAACTTGGAAAGATCATGTGTAGTCTGGCTAATCAACATATTCAGAATCTCCAGAAATCTCCCATTGGTTACTTGCATGATTTTTCTGTCCTCTTTAGCATTCTGTAGAGCTTCTTCTGAATCACGTGTCCACAACATTTGAATTCCCAGTAATCCAACCTACAAATTTAGTGTGTGATACAAAAGAATCACTTGTTGAACACTAGACTTATTCTAGAAGCGTAAAGTGTAAGAGAAACAATAAATTATGGTGTAGAGAATCCCAGATTATCACTACATCCAGCACTGTGCCTGATTTCATTGGCTCTGCTGTGTTACAGGAAACTTCTGAGAAAGTATTTTAAAACTTTAATGAGAATTCATCACAGACTAAGATACACACAAATTAAGGATGATTTTCAGTTTCACTTTCAATCTCTTAGTATACTCCAGTATCACAAACATGTCTTAACTTGTGAGAAGTCCTGAAAATTTCCCATTGACAATTCATAGCTAATCAAAGAACATAAAAAATAAAATGCTGTGCTTTGTTACTGAACATGGGATAGACTGCTATCTTTCTAACATTCTGGCATGACTGGAGTATAGCCTAGAGCACATTGAGCTAGAAGTTATTTTGCTTCCAAATAAATCTAGAGAGTTATAGGATGTTGCGTGTAATCTACAGTCTCAGACTGATTTTGATTTACAATATCAGGTACACCCATGACAAAACAGGATAGATGAGAACTGTATCAATACCATTTTCCCCACACATTTCTACATTCACAAAGCACCAAGGCCTAAAAATTTGACTCATCCATTCTTTCTATTTTTCTATCTCCCTATACTTGTAGTGAGTTCATGGTTACAGATAATACCTCACTTTAAATTTCTTGGCCAAAGACAATTTTCTTCTTCCCTCCCCTCTCTTCTAATGTAAATAATTATTTGAACATAAAAACATTTGGATTAGCAAGACATGGGAAAGAAGGTCTTTGCAGATGGTAATAAAACCACTTCAAAATGTCTGGCATGCAAACAAGACAGACAGTCCTTAGGTGTTTAAAGAAAAGTAGTAGACTTTTTAAAATAAATACTGCTGAGATAACACATAATTATGTCACATATAGAGCTTTAAGATAATTCTATTAAGTATTTAAGTATACAGAATGTGTTAAAAAACTAACAATGTATTGGTCAGTTTTAATATTTGCAGAATTTCTATTAAAAAAAATTAAACCCAGCACTGTACTGATTAGCAAATTAGAGAGTCAGAATTCATACAAATGGGAAATAGTTCATTACTTATTAATGAAATTTATGAATTATCAGTAAGATGAAGGAGTCTCTAAGCAAACTAGAATCCTTCAAGATTGGCTTCTACTAGAACTGCATTATCATAGTGACAAATATATGAACTATGAGGTAAATCTTGTAAATTATTACATAAATAATCATAATCATAGCTCTTGCAATCTTAAACTATGAGAAAGAAATCCATCTGCACATGAAATTTTATTTGTATCTGAAAGGGGTTCCATATCCATTACAGAAAATATAAGATCTGCTTTATATTCTCCAAGAGAAGAAAAAAGTAATTCTAAAGATTGCAAGAAAAATATTTTGCTATATATAGGGTAGCAAAATTGAAGTCATTAAGGATTGCCTTCTACTGAGTAGAGTCATATGCTTGTTTCCTCTATGAAAACTTCCTCACAGAGGTAATCCTGTATGCTTCCCATCCCACTTCCCCCCACACACAACCCAGACTGCACAGACAAATCCACATCCTATAATCTGACCTGTGCTGGGAAGTGATTAAGAAAATCCAGTAACTGATATCCTGGGTCACTAATTTGGTAATATGCTGTCCTAATTATGCCATGCAATGAAATCTGCTGCACATGCAATAAGTCCTGCAACCAAAGTTCTACTGGTCCTTTTGCAATCACTGGAGTGTCCAACTGAAAAATTAATAAAAGTAAAGGGTAAAAAATAGAGCATAATTACCAAACGTCTGTTCAAGAATGTTAGTTACTAAAATTCTATTCAAGACAACTACAAATTTAATTTCAATAAACATACCAGAAATTTATTTAATGAAGACATATTATACTTCTGTTAACTTGTAATTAATAGTAATTCATTTATATATATATATATATAGATAGATATAGATATAGATATATAGATATGTTCAACAGTAGAATGATTTATCTATTAAGAACATTTCTGGGGGAAAAAAAAAAAATCACATAATTACTGGAATTTTTTCTCCTTCTCTTGATATAACTGCCAGTATGCGATCATAATCCTTTTGGTGAAATTCTACTTCATTTATATTGTCAGATATGGAAAGCAGATGTGGCTGTAAGGATAATTCAGAAGTCATTCAATGTAAATATATAACAATAACAAACAAAATAAAAATCTCAAGTAAGGTTATCCTGCAAAGGTGCATCTGAACCTACAGATTAATTTAATGTAGGTAATAATTACAGAAATGGCTGTGTAGGGTTTTATCTCCATTTGTTGGTTTTTTACAGTTTCCAGTAGTGATCTAGCAGAACATAGATCAGCCATTGTGTGAGATCAGCTGTCTTATCTCAATCAACCCTCAGTAACAATCTAGAGTAGTTGAACTATAAATCTTTAGCAACAATCCAGACTAGGTAGATGAATTTTGCAATATGCAAAGCAGGAAAGTCTCACAAGGTCCCTTGTGTCAGTTTAGTTGTGAAAGGAACCACTAGCAAATCACTTGATGGGATCATATTCTAGTGATCTCAATTCTGAAGATTTAAATTACAGATATCCATTTCATATTTTGCTAATGACTAAAGAGCAAGAAATGAAAATTTTTCTCAAAGTTTATAAGAAGAAAATGGTAATATTTTAATTTATGAAACACTTTTCCATAGTCTGTTCTTTTTTTTTTTTCAATAAGCAGAAAAAAATCACTAAGGTTGTACCTGAATTGTATGAGAATCACTTGCTTGTCCAAGAATTTCAAGAAGGACAGGATCAGAAACAAAAAAGAATCTTGGAAACAGTAGTCTTTTCTTCTCTAAGTACCTTTAAAATTGAACAAGATTTTAATTAGAATATTTCAGCTCTTAAATTTCTTCTACATAAGAGTGAAAGTAAGACTTAAATACTATTAATATTTCATATAAAGTATTTGCAAAATAATAATGCATTAAAAATCAAACAATTCATACCCTGTAAGTGATTTCTGACATACTTCCAACTGTTCATGTAAATGAGGGAGTAGTTGCTCCATAGTCTCATCTCCAACACAGCAATTAATCACATTTGGGGTTTCATGAGCTCGTTGCATTATTCTTATCCACGATTTGTCAATATTCTGGAAACGCTTTGCTTCCTATATATAGCAAAAACCAAAGTACTTTCACAGCATAATCTGTTGGAAATTATTACACAGATAGCTTTTAATAAACAATAAAGGCAAGCATTGTAAAGTTTACCTGAGGTAACTGTTTTGCGATATCTCCCCCTACAAAAACAGCTTCAAGATAAATCCAGAGGTTCTGCACAACCAGCCATTCTTCAATTATGTCTGTAGAGCTGCTTAGTTTATAAACCCAACTCTGAATTTCCTTTTTAAATGGTGTATTGTATCTAAAAAAAAGGATGAGAAGCAGAAATTATTTAATTCTAAAAAAAAGCTATTACAAAATTAATAATTACAATGGTAAAAAAACCCAAACAAAACTTGTTTCGATTAGAGCAAGAAGAGTATCGTGGAAAGTTTCTACCAGCTTGATTATGTTCAAATACATTGAGACAATAGTTTGCTACTAATACAAAAAAGTCTACCACTTCAAGAAGTTTTTAATTAGAATTTGTAACATTTGTTTCCATTAAAAAAAACAATATTCAATTCAAATTTACTGCTGATTTAGCCTAATAATAGCACAGTTGCTATCTCAGTGTGTTTCTGAAAATACCATACACAATCAATTTAAAAGTACCTATTGCTCAGTAAAGAGCCAAGAACCATTAAACTGTCCTCCATCAACGTTATAATTTCTGATAATTCAGTTCCCTTTAACAGTAGTTCTCCTCGCCCTTTGAATGATGAAAAGCTCAGAACTTGGCTTCCCCAAATTTCAGTTATTTGAGATAGTTTGGCTTCTATATCTTTTTCCTTTGTAGCAGATATGCATATATCCTGCAAAGAGAGAACCATTTTTTAGAATCATCTTCATAAACAAAACCTTTCCTAATATTACACATCTAGTAATAGAATATTTAAAAACAATATATAAAATTTTATAAAATAGTACAGAAATGTGTCACACATGCAGAGATCACAGTACGAATTTTACTCACTCAAATGACATATATGGATAACTGAAAAATGCACACTTGGAAATGCCCGGATATACCATTTCTGTGGCTTCATATTTCATTATTTCTGTGTAACAAGATTTCTGAATCATCATTTTGATACGGTTTAGGGTAATGATGTAAACTCATAATCAGATGAGTTCTCAATCTTACCATATTTCAAATAAGAACAGTTTAGGTTAGAAAGGTCATCAAGTCCAACATTCTATTCAAATCAGAGCATAATTAAAAATTAAGCAGATCACCTTGGAATGCTTCCATATAAATCAAGTATAAAACTAACAATAGCTTTTGCACACATATGTACTCTATAAAACTTGCAAACTCCATTGGGAGTTTTTTCAGGTTATGTGGGGGATCTTTCAAAGTTGTATGCTTCAGAAAAAGCCATAAAGATCTAGAAAAATATTCATATTAAATATTAATAAGCATGAAGGCTTCTTCTAAAGTTTCTGATTTATTTACAAATCTGTAAAGCAACTGCAGAGTTAAAAAATTAGGTGACCATGACCATTTGAAGTTTTGTTTGGTTTTTTTTCCCTGTTCAAAAAGGGCTAAAAAAATAACAGAAAATAGGGCCAGGAAGAATGTGAAGACATTATCTAGAAATAAGTGTGCAAAGATTCCAGCTGCTACTTCTGCTTTTGTTCATATAGATAAGAACATCTAAATAAAATATAAACTATTTGAAACTAGTATGGTCTGATTGAGAGCCAAGGACTTTAATGAAATAAAAAACATTTTTTTAAATGTGATCATTTTATAAGTAATCATACTACTTTTACTGACAACATAAAATGAACAAGGAGGGAAAAAAACTTATGTACCTACCTCAATATCATCTTTATATTTAAGAATTGGTGCTTCCATGATGTTTTGAAGGCAAAAGGAATCAGATTCTATATCAAACTGATGACCTGTTGTTTCAGCAATACGATTCCAGTGTCTTTGCTTCATTGCTTTGTCAGTCATCATTTCCAACAAAGGACAAGACTCACTAAAATCATCAATTTTTTTCTTGAGATCTAAAAATGCTTGCCAGTGATGAAGTCCTTTAGGTAGTCTACGGCACCTGCAGTTGAGTTAAACTGATATAGTAGTAAATGCCTCTTTTGTCAAAATGGGAATTGTTTAAACATTTTAAAAACAGACAAGGAGATAGGAAGAAGTTTGTACTGAGGTCACCACTTTCTATGTAAAATTCCAATTTGTGTCAATTAGTCTATATTTTTAGGAAAAACTAATAATGCAAATATCCTACTAACAAATAACAATATTTAACAGTTTTAACCAATTTTACGTTCTTGCAAATAAACAGAAATATCGCAGTTTGCATTAAAACATAGCTTATCTGCTGCTTATCATCACAAACTCTTTATTGGCAAACAAAAATACAAAGTAAAATTAGTTCAATTCCATATACCTAATCTTTGTACAAACATAATATCTACTTCAACTTACAGTATCAGTAATACACACGGCACATATTATCATACCACTTCAGAGACAGATGTGAAAATTAGAAAGCTATGACCTCCTTCTCCTCTACTTTTGGTTAGTGGTCCTGAAACTATTCACTAAGAAAATGAAAACTATATACAACGAATGTGGAAAACCCCAGTAAAACAGTTAAATGAATATTCACCTCTTTTACCACACTTTTCCAGAGCCTACACACTAAGAACTAAGCAATTGACCCATTACAGGAATGTTCTAAAACGTAAATGATAAATTACGTCCTTAGGAGGAAAAGTAATAAAGTCTGTATCATATTTCCCTTGGTTTTATATCCTTTGTCACTGATGTCTCTAACTCCCACTGATATAATTTCATATTTTCTGTAATCAGATACAATACAGCAGTCTGTGTCTGGTTTAAAGTTATGCTGGTTATGAGTACATTTACATTGACTAGCTTCCTGGTTGTTGTCAAACAGAAGATTTAATAGCTGCCTGCCTTTCCTTGAGAGGAAAAAGCATTTTGTATCTGGTTTTGGACTTCTATATAACTCATAGGCACTTAATTTTATTTCGTGAGTAATCTGCCTTATTGAAAGTTGAAACAGGCCAATAGATTTAAAAAAAAAAAAAAAAAGTATTCAAGAATGCTGAAAACGAGGAGCACAGAAATGGTCAGAGACTTACATCACATATCACCTTTTTCCTTAGAAAACCAGGAAAAACGTGAATTTTATAAATTTCTCTGTTTGTATCCATTCTTTTCATTTAATAATAAAGAGTTAATGTCAAGTTCAGTAATTTGGGACACAGATATCAGATACAGCAGAGAGGCAGATTTTGAATGACATGTTGCAGGTTCCAGAGCTGGGAGCCCTGTTATCCTTATTGAATCTTGTGAACCAGTGGATACCATTTTGCACAAAGACAAAATACTGCCAATTAGGTGTTCATCAACACCGTGCTTCTTTCAGAGACTCTTAATCCCTGAAATTCTGTCAGCATGTGTAACTTCAAATTTGGGAAAGAAAAATACTCTTTGGCACATATTTCCTTCAAAGTTTATTAGTCTCTGGTTAACTTTTCCCACTTAGAAATTCAGAAATAATGCAGATTTAGACCCAGCCTTCAAGTCTGTTTGTCAAAAGTATAGTTTCAAAACTACAGAAATTCTTCACTTACCAATTTTTTCCTTATAATGACATATTTGATATATTAGTTAACTTTCAGGAAAATATATATATTTAGTAGACTACTACAACACCCTGGACTAGAAGCCAATAACAACAACAAGAAAAAGTAAAAAATTCCACATTCTGTAGTACAGAACCTCTCCCCCTGGTTTAGGAAGGTTATGCTACTATTTTGGGGTTACCTGAACCCATCAGTGTGATAAGCCATGAAAAACTGCCAAAGTAATGCCAAGAGGTAAGATATATTGACAAAATGGAGAACAGAAGGAAATGATGGGCAAATAGATGGGATGAGTACTTAACAGCCTAAGAACTATTTATACTGAAAGTTTTTCTCTTCATTGCAGTTACAAAAGTCATTGCCCTTTTATACACTTCTACTTGAACTACCTTGAACAAATGTCAATTTCAGAGAGTAACATAATTTAGCTCTTGTGAAACTCTGTATTTCAGCAATTAGACTTCAACATTATCTAAGATCGATTTAAAGCTGTTTTAATAGGCCCACACTGCTCTATAACTGTAGTGTAGATAAACTCAAAAATCCCAAGTACCAGCAAAAGTACAACCGTTCATCATACAGTTCTAATAGGAGGACCAGGGGTGCAAAGAAAGTGCCAAGAAAGCTGGAGTTGTTTTAGGATACAGCTTGCCAAGCTTATAACAGAACTCTATTAAGTAGCAGGAGAGCTGGGGGCTGCATTCAATGATGCAGTGATTCTGTTGTAAAACAATCCTTGTCCTAGTCTATATATTTCTTTCCAAAATAATATCTGTACTTTTGAAATATTAAAAATAGAGTTACATTAAAAGGTTAGAAAATACGTCTGAATCAAACTAATCACATCTAATCCTCTCAATAGTGTTAAAAGTTTTTTAAGCTTTCAGCATTACTGCAATATTTATAACTCTTTACAAACCCATACTATTTAAGACAGTCAGCATTGTTAATGCATTTGAAATGGCAAAAATGCTTTTAAAAAAAAGATAAAATATTCTAAAAGACTCAGAAATCTTTTTCTTGTATTCAGGACTTAAAATCAATGGGCTAATTCTCCTAGTTGAAGAACTTACCATTTACAAATACACTTTTAGCTCTCCTAACCTCTTGGTTGGTTTAGCTAAGGAGATTGACTCTTCAACTGATTGTATGCCCTTCAATTATCAAAACTACAGACAAAAGGCTGGTTACCTAAAAATATCGTGTTATTCCACCCTTCCCTGAAGAATCCTATACTTTATGGTAAGTCTTATTCATAGAAGTTTTATATTTAAATATATCAGATAGCTTTACTGAAGTCACATAAATCTTAATGTATTTAACATTAGTTACAATTCATATTATGAACATACCTGTTTTGAAAATCCAGAAGTTCAGCATTAATTTTTTCGATATCTACATCTGTCCAAAGTATCTCATAATAACCATTGATTTTGTTTATTACATTATCGTATAATCCATACAATTTCTGAAGCAAGCCTAACTCCTTCCTGGGGAAAAAAATAATCATACTGATAATTTCAATCGGCTATTTGGATAACTTACAATAGTTAAGTACATAGTATTTGTATTATTACTATAAAAAATTAAGGTATATAAATTAGATTATGTTTCTTAATGTATAAAAGAACACTTCATTAATAAAATCCAGAAAAAAGAACAGAGAGGTGGTACTAAGGACTTGATATCCACACTAAACATATCTGGGGGAAGTTTTGCTTTGTTCTAGTTCTATAAAACTTCCATACATCCAAAAGGAATCTAGCTTATATACCCTGAGCTGGCTCTACAATGCAAAGCAGAGCATGGCAAGTGGGGACAATAAGTAAATTTACTTTGGAAGCACTCTCTTAATCTGCACTAAAACACTGATCTTAAAAACGGCCAGAAAGGATCAGATCCTCATCCAGTGTGAATCATCATCGAACCATTGAAATGGCTGGTGCAGAAACTTAAGAATCCGACTCTCATTTCTACAGCTGCTCAAAAAAATTAGACCTCCATAAAAGATCTAGTTATATTTTTCATATATGATGACACACTGACCTTTCCTTGCCTTTTCCTTGTTTGCTTTGTACCATATCTTAATACATAATACTATATTTCCTCATCTACTTACATAAAAGTGTGTGTGTGTGTATACATATATACACACACACATACATATATATATACACACACATAGATATATACATTATATATATATATGTATATATACACACATTGCTAGGCCATGGTATTCTACTCCTTTATATAGTATTCACATGTAGTAAAATAATCTGGTATGGTTCTGCTATCCTTATAAATAAACACAATGATTTTTTATTGGCAAATTCATTAGATCTCTAAAATTTTAATTTTTTATTTTTTTTCATTTAATTTAAGGCAATGTAAAAGCTTCCATATTGTAATGTTTCCCTCTTTGGTGTACCCTAAGCATTTCTAACATACTTAATAAACACCTAAGACAGCTGTATTTCCACAGTTACCTGACTTTATGCAAAACTTCATAGTCCGTAACAGGCAATCCAAACAACTGTTCACCAGATGAGTATGTGATAAACTTTCTCCACAGCTCATCAAAGTTAGCCTGATAAAATTAGGATTCATACAGACAAAATGAAAATATGCTTATAATATAAGTTTTAATTTAAAATTGTCTAATAATAAAACATTAAACACTCCTAAACTTGTCTTAAAATAATTCTTAGAAGCATATTTAAATATCTGAAAATATTTTTATCTAAAATTTTGAACAGTTCTCATGTAACGTAATACTCAAATCCATATGTTGAATTCAAATAGTGAAAATTTATATAAGAAGTAATAATTTAAAGAAGCATTTTGTAAAAATGGGATGTGAAAAGAATTCCACTTCATTAAAAACAAAAACAAATAAACAGAAAACCTTGCATCAGATGGTACAATACACACCATGAAAAAAACACTGAAGAGTGCCAAAAAATACAATTACTTTAAAAGTGTAACTGCTGTCCAAATGGCATGATTACCACAGGAAAATGTAACAAAGAATTACTTTGGCAGTTACTATTCATAAGTACAAAGCATTCTCTTGGCAAAACAAAAAATACAGCAAATTCAACCAAAATCACTCATTTTTCAGTACATATTAAATGCACCAGGAGGTTTAAACACCTGTTAGCTACTTACAGGTGCTTTTCACAAACTTTGAATTTCCTGTTTACATAGTCTATACAATATGAAATAGACTGACAGAAGCCCTGTTAAAAAGTCTTCAGTTACTATAACTTGCAGAGAAAGGAAGAAGGATTAAAAATAGATTAAAAACTGGTTATAGACCCAAGAAATAAGGTTGATAACAAACAAATACCAAGTTTAAAGACAATTTATACATGGAAAATGTGATCTTTAAAAGATTAAAAGATTGGTTCATGTGACTGATATGTAACCTGGCTTCTTTTCAGTCATTATCAAGTTGCCATACTTGACTCTTCCCTCTTCTACTCCTTTTATTACTTCAAGCCTATAATTTCTGCTCACAAAACGCAGAGTGAAGCAAGGTTACACATCAGTCAATCAATCAATTCTTTTGCATTAAGGAAAACATTGCCTGATAGAAACCATAGGTAACATAATACTATACAGAATATCCACCAAGACACATTTACCAAAGATTGTAAATACGTCTTTTTCTAAACTTGTTTTGATAAAAAAATAGCAGATCTAATTTTAATTATTTGGAGACTCAACAGTTTATTTTCTTACCTGAAAGATCTGTAGCCTATTACTGGCTTCCTGAGGTGGAATACTTGGAACCATAGGTCCTTCCTTTCAAACAAGCAGTTAATAAAAATTGAATCTTAATTCTCAAAGTGACTAAAGGCTACTGTATATTTATATTTACAGGTCACCACAAAATACATATTTTTTCGGTAGTCAAAATCCAGTCAAATTATGTATCTTAGTAATGCAGTAGTTACAATGGTAAATCTAAGAAAATATATTTTTTATTAAATTGAAAATTCTTTAGCTTAATTAAACTGAATAGGACTAGACTTTCATTTTCCATATTTTATTCTTTTGCTGAAAATAAAATACTCAGTGATTGGCCTGAGACCGTCTTTTTTAATGTTGATGTGTGAGCAAAGATGCAACAACATGAGCTACAATTTCTAAATTAATTTCTAAATTAAGATTTCATGGCAAGTTGTACCACCAGGGATTCTTTTCTCTCCTTACAGAGTTGTGTGCACTGTTATTTCTTCATACTTAAAAGTTTGATCTACAATGATGACTGCTTAGCAACCATGCCATCAAACACTCCATAGCTCAGTAGAATAAAATTCTGGCATCCAACTGCAGCAAACCAAAAATATTGAAAATCTAAGCACAGGTCTTACAGGTAACTACTAAATTCATTTACCGTTTCATACGACATTTCAAAGTTTGACACATCCTCCTGAAAAACTGCAACAGATTCTAGCAAATTACTCTTAAATTTGGGCTGAACTTGAACCAACTCATCTTGAACTCTGGTCTGACATACAAAAGATTAAAATCAAAGTTATTTCTTTAAAAATCAGGAACAGATGTTTGAGTTATACATAAACCAAAATGATAAATTAAAAGTATTAGAATTCTGAAAGAAGATTAATTATCTGAAGCTAAATAGATTTTTTTTTTAATGGTGCAGTATGTTAAATTTTTGAGATGAAAAGTGGAAAGAAAAAAACCCCAAAAACCCAAAACTATAACAAAATTTCCCCTCCACCTTTAAGTGAATATGTTCCATTACAAGGGGATGGGGGAAACAAAAAGACACAGAAAAGAAGGAAAAAAGGATCCTATTCTCTTCTTTTCTTCCTTCCTTCCCTCCAAAAAAATCTCTCAAAACCCAACACGTTAGGGTCCTCTTCCTCATGTATGGCTCAGCCTTCTCTTAAACAGCTTTCTTATCCTTTATTCAAAAGCTCGAGAAAAAAGAACCAAGAGCTGCATGAAATGCAAACGTAAAATACACTCTTGAGTCCTTTCCATATTGATTAATCTGTGGGACAGGATCTAACTTAATTGTTCCAACAAAATATCTATATATTTCCACTCAATCTCCTACACTTCAGGAAAATATTCAATAAACATTAAGCTTTTGAGAGATATAAGGTTGTCCTAAGCAATAAAGGTCAATGTGCAATCACCTCTTAGGGGTAAGGGCACTGGAAGAGTACACACTTCTTAAAAACAGGTGATCTAAGGGTAGTAATCTTCCTGATCAGACAAGAATGACACAAAAGCTGGAAATGAAGGACAGCACTAAGAGCAAAGAGAGAAATAATAAATTTCTCATTTTCTTGCAGGTTTTAAGCATGTATCTAAAAGCTACAATAGTATTTAAATATTAAAGAGCTCTATAAAAATAAAATCAGAAAATGAACATACTAATCAAAGGTACAGACACTAGTGCAATTGAGGCCAAGAGTGAGAAGACAGAGTGGAGTGACAATTCCGCACTGTCATATATACTCTGAAAAAAGCACACAAAGACAAATAGAAAATAACATAGTTTTGTATACTTACAGCTTTGGTCTGTAATTTATTAAAAGAATATCTGAGTGTATCAACTCCTTCTGATTCCTCTTTTGTAACCTCAATTTCAAATGTATTTAAAATAGCATAGGCTTCCTAGATGAAAAAACAAAACCTTAGGAACGATGCATTTTAAGTTAATATGCAGGAACATAGATCAAATCTGTAAGAAATGTGTCAAAGAAAATCTGTTCATGTAATTTAAGCATAAAATATTGATTTATTTTTTTTTAAATAAGGATGATGAATAGAACTAGGGAACAACAGCAAAAAATATTTCTTTAAAGATTTCTTTGATTAAATACTAGAAAAAATATACAAACACAATAAATTTAATATTAAAAATATATAAAATTTTAACATCTCAATGGTATTTTTATTCCGCTGATATACATTCCACCTGAATGTAGATTTTGATTATTTTTTTCTAACTATGAATAATTATGCACACTAAACTACATGTTTTTAAGTGTTTTGCTATATAATCTCTAAAATGTTTATTACTATGTTTGACAAACTATCAAATGCCTGCATATGTATATTACAGAATTAACTTTTCTTATCACTTGTTCTTATTTGCAATTTGTTTGCATATCCTCTGCTTTACTGTCCTCCTCCTACACACATAGCATTATTTAAAAATAAGATAATTTTCATATTTTATAGTTTCCTAACAGGTAGGTAAAAGTTTTGCTAATGAAGACAAACAGCATTGCATTACTTTAGCTACTCCTTTGGCCTACAGACTGGTATTCTGTGCAGTTTATGATGTTTGATAAACGCAGTTGTCTATTCCATGGAGATATCTACCCTTGGAATTCCCTCCTGTTCAACTTCTGAGAAAGGTGCAGACTGACCCATTGAGGTTGCAAGGGGCCTTTGGAGATTGCCTAGTCCAATCCCCCTCTGTTAAGTTCAGGGTTACCTAAATCTAGGTGCCCAGGACCATGTCAGTCACGTTTTGAATATCTTCAAGGATGGAGAGTCCACAGCCCCTCTGGGCAATCTGTTCCAGTTTTTGAACATCCTTACAGTAATTTTTTCTTAGGTTTAAATGGAATTTACTGTATTTCAATTTGTGGCCATTGCCTCTCGTCATGCTACTGGTTGCTACTGAGAAGAGTCTGGTTCTCTCTTCCTTCCTTCCCCTCAGAGTAGAAGGGATCATCTCCCTCCACCTGCTGGCAACACAACTCCTACCACAGCCCAGGATACCCTTAACATTCTTTGCTGCAAGGGCACTTTGCTGGCTTATGTTCAACCTGGTGTACACCAAGAAACTCAGTTCTTTTTCTGCAAAGCTTCTTTCTATCCAACCTGCACTGGTAGTACCTAGGGTTATCCTGGAGCAGGACTAGGCATCTCCCTTTGTTGAATTTCATGAGGTTCCTGTCAGACTATTTCTCCATCAAGGTCCCTCTGAAAGGCAGCATAATCATCTGGTGTGTCAGCCACTCCTCCCAGTTTTGTGCCATCTAGAAACTTGCTGAGGGTGCACTCTGCCCAGTCCTCCAGGTACACAGTACTGGGTCCAGTATGGACCCCTAGGGTACACCACTACTTATTGGTCTCTAACTAGATTTTGTGCTGCTCATCACAATCCTTTGAGCCTGACAGTTTTAAATCCAACTCACTGTCCACTCATCTAGTCCATACTTCATCAGTTTGTCAGTGAGGACATTGTGGGAGTCAGTGTCAAAAGCCTTGCTACCATTATGATAAACAATATCCACTAGTCTCCCCTTGTTCACTAGTCACCTTATCATAGAATGTTACCAAGTTGGTCAGTCATGATTTTCCCTTGATAAATCCACAGTGACTATGTTCAAACCCCTTCCTGTTCTACCTTTCCTTATATCAAGCTCTCTTTCCTTCAACCATGTTCTAGTAAGAAATATAATGGCTAATCAACCCATCAATAAAGTTCTATTTAAATCCATCAAGAAAATAAGACAAAACATTGAAATTACTGATCAGTTGCCATTGTTCTATATTCACTTATTGGTTTCATCAGCTCTATATTATTTCATTATTTAAGAAAAGCTCATGAAGAAAAGATCTAAGACTGACTTGTTAACATGACTAGTCCTACTGATATTGACAGAACTCATTACGTTAATATAAAAAGGGAGCAAATAATTGCAAGATATATAGAATATAAGTGGTTTGGGAAATAACCTTTATCCTAATATTAATCTCAAAGTGCCATATGTTTTTATACCTTTTATTTATTTATTTATTTACAAATTTTGCATCATTTCCTACACAGGTAAAACATAGCAAATAGACAGTGCTGAACTCTGTTCCTCTTACTTGTTTTATTTAACATCTACAAGTATAATTATCACATCCATATCTTCAGCCTGAAGGCAGTCAGTCTAAGAAATAACATTTAGTAGGTCTGAATATTACTTTAAATGTTGAAATTATTGTTCAGGTTCTTCCTTTACTTGTTTAACCTCTACCTCTTTTAGATCACGGAACTGGTTATATTTGCCTTCAAATAATCTCTGTACCATTCCTGGCTTACAAACCACTTAGCAGAAACTGCTAAGACAAAACCTACTTTCTTAACAGAAAACTAGCAAAAGTGATGACAATCCACTGGAAGTCCATTCTAGCATCATATTAATAGAAGAGTCTTCAAGAAAGAAAATATTGTTATAAAGCAATACAATTTCTTGTCCAAAAGGTGGAAATGTAAAACAAATGTGTTCTATTAAGATGATTGTTTCAGAATGGGATAATAAATACCAAGTATATATAAAACTCGATGAGCTTCTTTTAGGTTCTTTCTTATATGGAAAAATAAAAGAATGCTGCAAGTTTCTGACAGCATACAATGATGTATGGCTCCATTAATATATTCTGGTTATATTTAAAGGGTTTAGGTTATCAAGATGTTTGCTTATAGACACAGTAACATTAGAGAGGATTAAGGCTAAGAGAAAAGCAAACAGCAAAAGGGAGACTATTGCTCCTTTCTCTTGTGCTCTCATCTGCTTATTCCTGCATGTTGTCCCCTAGATTGCATTTATATTATAATTTATTTGAGCAAGAATATTTTTTTCTGTCCTGCATTCATACAGTATCTAGCAAAGTATCTAAAATTGTTTGATAATTTATAATAAAAATAACAACAGAAATATTACTTTGTTTCCCATCTTCAGCCTAGATCCTTCAGGTCAGTAAACTCATTGTTTGGGTTCTCAGTTTATCTTATCACTCCTTTAATAAAGTATCATTTTAATCAAGATAAAAAATTAAAAGTAATCTTACTTCAATAGGTCCCAGAGTCATATCCATTTGTATTTTATTATCACGTATGACAGATAGAGCTTCCATTGCAAATCTGACGTCGTCTAAGTCACACAGAGGTCGAGATAATTTCTTTAAATATTCATTTATGAATGACATCATGTCCATCATTTTCTTTTTATATTCCTCATTTAAATACCGACAGAGAAGCATCTTCCAAGCTTTGGCTTCAATTGCTAAAGCTATTTTCAATGGTTCTGATTTTTTTAAAAAATAAAATAATTAAAAACTATTCAATCTACATCTTCATCTTTTTTCTGTAAAAAAACCCCCACATCATCACATATGGTTCTTTAACAGCAATTAGGAAAAACAGACAGGTAATAATTACTGCATTTTAAAAGTTTCAAAACAATTTCAATTATACTTAAACATATTTCTGTTGTTTCATTGTATAGTATGATATCTGTAAAACATATTGGTAAGCTTATCCAATAGAATACATAGAGAAGATGAATAAAGAAGAAAAATGCCTACTTATTAATGCAGCTTCTTGATATATATTAACAAAATGCATAAAGATCAGTGATATTTAAATGGTTTATATCTGTTGAGGAAATGGTATCTTGGGATTTCAATATTGCAATTTGGAACACATCACAACTAAAACTGTAAGATGTCACATCATATCATATGCAGTTAATATATAAACACAAACCAACACTGAAGAGAAAGAAAAGACAATCATTGGCACTCTAACTTAACAGAATAAATTAGGATTTTAATAGGCAACATTTTGTACTCTGGTGAAAGAAACTGAAAGACACTAACAGCATAGAACCCTTCTGCTCACAAAACAAATTTTAAAGCAGATATGGTTTCTCCTTTAATAACGTGGATATTAACATTAAAAATCTGACTCCTGAAGGCCAGCAGTAATTCAAGAAAAGTACTGTACTCTGTCCAGAAGCCTAGAAAATGTAAATGATAATAAATAATTCCCAGACGTAAATTGAGTCCAAGAAAAATACTTGCTTCCTCATACCATAAAAATATTTAATATCCTTGGTCCTGAACCTAGAGGAATTGTCTCCCTCTGATGCAGTGGTCACAGATGAGGGAGTAGTGTGACCATCAACAAAATCCATATTCTTCTGGATATACTGCTTCTTATCACTCTGGGTCACAGAATAATAAACAACCAGAGTGAATTAATTGCCTCCAGAGTCATTTCATTAATAAGTTGCATCCAGGAACTGGATGAGGATATGCAGTCAGCAGTTAGACAATTTTACTTATTCACTGAAAGAAAGCTAGGCATAACAAACCACCAAGATCCTGAAATTAACTCTAGTCAAAGTGCACAGCTTCTGTCTTCTCATGCAGAAAGAAAATCAGGGGTACAAAAG